AAAATTACAAGAGACATACAAGGATGAGGAGGATTAGTAGCAACAAAAGAATAGAAATATGTAGAATACGGCCGGGTATCTTAATTTTATTACGCACTGACGAAACAAAAACGTGCCAGAGATGCGAATGTGGGTTTGCACAATGCTAGTGTAGAATGGATAGAGGATAAAGAAGTGGAAAAAGTTGTAGTTGGTTACTTTGAGGATTTATTTGGCACTACTTCCCCCCCCCCCTCTGATTTTGATAGTTTTCTAGAGGAGATCCCGTTATCTATCACTCACCAAATGAACCAGTGACTGATCAGATTGGCAACGGAGGATGAGGTGCGCCAGGATTTGTTTATGATCCACCCGGAGAAGGCTCCTGTTCCGGATGGAATGACAACACTTTTCTTTCAACATTCTTGACATATTATAAAGAAAGATCTACTGGAAATGGTTAATAAGTTTCTAAGCACTAGGGAGGTGGACAAAGGGTTAAATATTACAAATATTTGTTTAATTCCAAATACGGAGAGACCTACAAGAATGACGGAGATGCGGCTGATGAGTGTTTATAATGTGAGATATAATGCGGTAAAAAGTATGTCTCCCTAGACTAATTTCGGAAAATAAATATGCTTTTGTCCCTTGGAGATTAATGTCGGATAACATACTCATTGCTTAGAAAATCTTTCATGGGTTACGAACCAATAAATCCTGCTAGGCAAAATTTATGGCAATCAAAATGAACATGGGAATAGCGTGAAATTTTATCCAGGCTTTACTAAACAAAATGGGTTTTGATCCCCAATGGGTCAAGTTCATGATGGAATATGGGGTTCTTTTAAATCGACAACCACGTAGGAATATTGTTCCACAGAGAAGGTTACGACAGGAGGATTCTCTCTCCCCATATTTTTTTATACTATGCACAGAGGCGCTAATTGCAAACTTAAAAAATCCAGAAAGACAAATACAATTTACGGTTTTGAAGGTTGCAAAAGCTTGCCCACCGGTATCACATCTGCATTTTGCTGATGATATCTTGTTGTTTTTTGCAAAACACAGAAGGAGGAATGTTATACTATTCTTCTGAAATAATATGAGGCTGTGTCTAGACAGATGATAAACTTTCAAAAATCATCGATTCAGTTTGGTTTTAAGATTGACGAATCTGTAAAGCAGAAGCTTAGGAATATATTAGGTATCTAGAATATAGGAGGAATGGATTCATATTTGGGTCTGCCGGAAAGATTGGGAGGTTCCAAGACCCAGGTGTTTGGTTTTGTCCAAGACAGGCTACATAATAGAGTAAATGGCTGGACGTTTAAATACTTTTCAAAGGGAGGGAAAGAGGTGGTGATCAAGTCAGTGATTACGATCCTACCAAACCATGTCATGTCATGCTTTTGAATTCCAAAAGCAGTAACTTCAAAACTAAAAAGTGTAGTGTCACAATTTTGGTGGAGCTTAGGAGGAAACACTCGAGGCATGCATTGGAAATCTTGGGACAAACTATGTACAAGAAAGGATGAAGGAGGTTTGTGTTTCAAAGATCTATCAGATTTTAACACGGCTATGTTAGGAAAACAATTTTGGCGATTGATAGAGAAACCTAACACATTATTTTCGCGTGTTTTCAAAGGAAGGTGTTTTAGGAATGCATCACCCTTGGAACAGATTCGGGATGAGCAACTGGACGTATGGAGGGATGGTCTTTATGAGGAATTAGCAACGCAAGGGGTTCATACTCGCTGTCATACGGATGTCGCAGTATGGTATTTTCTAGATCTCTAGTTAACATATGACTAATTAAACGGGTGGGATCAGGATCATCTATATCAGTATGGAATGATCATTGGTTCCCAACCATTCGCCCGAGACCAGGAAACTACAACCAACAAAATATTTACCCACATATCACAGTGGACTCGCTCATCAATTCCACAACATGGACATGGGACTCTTAGGCAATACGATCTTTGGTGACACTAGAGGATGCAAAGACTATAGAAAGTATTCCTTTAAGTAAACATCAACTGGTAGATCAAGATGGTGGCACTTTACAACTAACGGGAAGTATATGGTTAAACTATGTTATCATGTAGAAAGAATTTACCCAGATAAAGAAAAAGGACAGCCAGTGTATGGACCCACGATCACTCCTTTAAAAGCTCACTCTTGGAGGATTCACTGTCCTCCAAAAATTAAACATTTTCTATGACATATAGTATCAAGTTGTTTATCGGTAATGAAGAACTTGCAGAGTAAGGGTATCTAATGTGATACTCCTGTGCGGGATGCATAGCCAGTGAAAAAATCTATTAATCATGTGTTTTTGAACGTCTTCCGACAGTCCAAGTATGGGCTTTATCTAAGGTACCATAAAATCCAGCCATTTTTCCATCTCATGCATGCTTTATTTACAAACATGGATTATCTATTTGGGAGGATGTCCCCGCATATAAATGATCATCATTTCGTATGGAATTTATGGTATATTGAAAAGGAAGGAATAATAAAGTCCTCATCAATATTGACGTGAATCCCAGGATACGTTGAAATTGGCAGAGACTAAATGTTTATTGTGGACAAAGATCCAGGTTTCAATCAAAACTAGAATTCCTGAAACAAGTAGAAATGGAGAGTTTAGCTTACCTACGATTCTGGGTCGCTGGTGTTTTATAGATGGATCATGGAAAGACCAGGAAATGTTCTCAGGACATGGCTGGTATAGTACTCTTAATGATCATGTTTTTTAATGATCATGATAAAATAGGATAAAAACAGATGTGACTCAATTAAAAAAGTTGAAGCAATCAAATATACCTAAAGTATAACAAGGTAAATCAGTCTAAATCCTTATATTTAATATTATTCAAAAAATTGTTTTGTTTTATTTTAATAAATATAAATTATAAACTAACTTAGAAGCTATAACAAATTAAAGAAAAATGTACCCAACTATAAAAATTTATTTATTTTGCAAATATTTATTTAACAAATTAATTCATGTTTCTTATGAAAATTCATATTGATCATCATTTTATCTTTTCCATTTTATTTCGAAATAATATATAGTAAATTACAATAAAGAAAAATATTTTAGTTTTTTTTAAAAATAAAAATCAAACCAAATGCAATAAAAAAAATCCACATTTATCATAAATAAAAATAGATGATATGAATTTCCAAGAATATATGTAATTCAATATATGCAAACAATCTGAATTCTTAAGTAAAATTGTAGACTCAATTAAGACAAGAAATCCAATTCACCACCTTCCTCTGCCACATCGCCTGCATCCTGATTTGGGTCTATTCAGATTTCACATTTTCAAGCTTAGAGATTTAAATCCAACAAGAACTTGACTCGCACTCCCGTGCGGGTGTTTGATTTAATATGTATTTAACGTAAACTCATAAATCAGTAGTTTTATAAAAAAATTACATATATATATATATATATGTTTTCTAATTTACATATAGAGTAGAATATATTATTTTATTATATAAATGTTTAATAATATTTTTTATTTGTACATAATATTATATTAGAAATTTTATAATTTGATGCATTTTAATGTAATTGTACTATTCATATATTAACTTTTTTTGTTAATTAATTTTAAAATAAAACAACATACTAAATATTAATTTTTGTATTATTTATTCTATGAATTATCATAAGTTTTATGATATTTTGTTTACTTGAAAATTGAACTCTCGAAATTTTATATTTGACTAAATTAAATCGGGGAATACTATATTTAAAAAATAGTTTATATAATATATGCTATATATTTTAGTTTGTGTTTTTATTTTCACCGCAAAAAATAAAAATGATTGTAATTAATTAATTTGAATCGATTTTGAATGCAATGGCAGAATCTGTAAATAAAAAAAAATACAAAAAAAAATTATTGTAAATGCGATGTTTAAATGTGCAAATAAAAGAAATTATCTAATCTACTATCCATGTTTTCAAACAATTCTTATTTATCATACTATCCTTATTTCCAATCAGTATGAAAATGTACTTCAGTTTTAATAATATAGATTCTGAACATTGCGGGTTTGGTTTGGGTAACCATTTAATTATGTAAACAATATAAAATTTCAAATATATCATAGATTCCCAAAGTCCAAAAAATTAAATAAATAGAACATATAAATTTAAATAATGTAAACGTAAATATCTAAATTAAATTAAAGTTGGTTTTATTTGGATATTTTGATGGAGAATAAGATTTTAGATATTTTCGATGTTTTGGACATTTTAGGGTATCCAAAATATTTGGTTAGAGTCGGATTTTTTTAATTCGGTTCTTCAAATTTTAACATTTTATATCTAATCAGGTATTAGTTAGTCGGTACTATTTTTTGGACTGGATTCGATTCGGTTCTTAAGTCTATATATTTTGCCCAGCTCTATTATTTTTTATACAAAATTTATAAAAACAAAATTTAACCAATGCAAGATATGTTAGATAATGTATTATCGTTTTAGTTTTTACTTTTAAAAATAAAATAAAACAAATGTGAGACATACCAATGCATATTTAAGTAAAATTATTTATAACTTAATATATATATATAGAAATTGCAGTTTATAATAAATCAAGCTTTGTAAACAAAATAATCTCGCGCTTTAAAAGCGTGGGTCAAAATCTAGTATATATTTAAATTTAAAAATATATCAAAAGATGTTATGTACTAATTAATTAGCCAGAAATTGGTTTTTCATTTTTCTTAATAAAAAAAACTAAACTAAAATTAACGGCATTTTTCATAACATCAAAAAGTAGTTCCAAATTTTTTATTATTTTTTTTTTGTAATAATGATGCTGATAATCTTAAAATAGTAAATTTTCAACTTCTTCTCCGAAGTTTTGGCTAACACTTTTTTCCCCTTCATCGTAATACATATTCTGTTTTGTGTTTCAATGTTTCCTTCCCCATCCTCTTCTCGTTGGTCAGATCGTAAGAGAAACAAAAAAAATAAAAAAAGAATTCAAATGGGAAGCGAATCAATGAGCCATCATCATCACTTATCGTTTAGAAAGAAACTAAAATCAAAGCTTTGCATCGCCGGGGGATGTTTCCGAACGACCAACAATCCCCAAAGTCTCCCTGAGCAACCATTGTCTCCGACAACTCCAAATGAGACATCAACACAAAGCCCACATGGCGGTGGTATCAAGAACAAATCTCCTAGACTTGCTCGGACCTTGTCCAAATCGCACGAAAAATGCAAAAATCTGATCCATCGGATCGGGGAAGGTAAGCACGTACGACGTCATACGGCGGATTTTCATTATGATCCGTCGAGCTATGCGCTAAACTTTGACAGGGGAGACGAGGACGAACATGTCAATCGTTTTCCACTTTACAACTTCTCTTCTAGGCTTCCTCATTCACCACCTTCCTCTGCCACATCGCCTGCATCCTCCTTCACCATCCATAACCTTCTGCGGTGATTCTTTTTATTTTATTTTTATTGATTTCATCGCCTTGTTTTGTTTTGTTTCTTTAATCGTGGATTCCTTTCTTTTTTTTATGTTTTCTTATATTTTTAGCAATTGTACATATTTTCTTTCTTTTTTTTAAGTCCCAATATCATTTTTCCGAGCTAAATCACCATATTAAAGAATGAAATAGAACTGAAACAATGAAATCGTAGGCCTAAAAATGTACATATAAATAGAGAGATTAACAGAAATAGACACTTTATGACTTTTGATATTGTAATAAATCACTTTTTATTCTTTAGACACTTTTTCTCAACTTATTCTTTTTTTCCTAACTAAAACATAACTAAACACAACTATTAAGATTCACTATCTATTCTATCTATTTCACCATTATTTTGTACTAAAAATGATGATTCAACTTTGTGATGGAACCAATGAAAAAGAAAACAAAAGCAACAAAAGCGGATGTGTTTTAGATTGTGGAGAAATGGTGTCGAAATTCGGTTTCATCTCATTCACCTTTAATTTGAACCCTAAAATCTGAATGAAACCTCTTTTCCACCATAATAACATCACGGCCATCACCGCACGTCTTCGTCTTCATCATTAGCCATGAAAACATCACCACCAAGCTTCTTCCTCTGCACCAACTCCGCTAAGTATCCTCTTTTTGATTCACAACCACATCGAGCTTCAATCCGCAACCGTGAAGCTTCTTCCTCGACAAAAATTCACCGTGGTGGCCATCGTCGCTTGATTCTAGAAAGCTTGAGCAACAATAATGTTTTATTTTCATTTTGCGCATTCGGTCCTCCAATTATTTAGTTGTTCTCAATTTGATCTCAAATTTTTAAAATTTTGTATTAATCCTCGTGAATAAACCCAAAACTTCTAAATATGCATTCCAACCATTTCTTGTATTGCAAGATTGGTTCTTCACGCTTAAGTTTTATCTCAATTTTGTTCAAAATTCATGAAATTTTCCAAAATTATCAAATTATGAACTCCAGCATTTGTTAATGACCGTACACAAAATACATCAAAATGTGAATTAGAACTGAACGCTAAAAATCATAAAAATCGTAAGATATAAACAACATACAAAACCATTTGTACATTGTTATTTACGCCATTTCATCATGAATTGATCTATTATGTTATGTATTTTGGTATTTTTGAGGAAGCAGCCACCAATTCATTTAAATGTGTACAGCTTCTTCACATATATGATTCGCTTTTGTTGTACACATGTATATTGAGCATTGTGTACACCAACAAAATTCACACAAAATAACAATCTCAACCGCGACTGAATAGACGTGTACACAAAATACACGTGTACACAAAATAGATGTGTACACATGTACACAACATATCCAAATGAGCACGTAACTACCAATACACATGTACACGTCTCAGCCGCGACTAACAAAATACACTTATACATATGTATACAAAATAGACGTGTACACATGTACACAACATATCCAAATGAGTACGTAACCACCAATACACATGTACACAAGATAGCCAAATGAGCACTTAAACAACCATACAAAGACCACCTAAAAATTTTAAAAGCTAGTACACAAAATATCCAAATGATCACCTTACCACGATACAATGACCACCTAGACAATTTCAAAGCTAGTATGCACATTTGCGTGTTTCAACTATGTACGAGAATATTTAGGTGTACATCGCTTTGACGAGATCCATATGTACACTATTAAGAATTATCTACATGTACACCTTCAAAGTCAACTTTTAAGTACTGTCATTCTTCAAACTTCAAAGTCAACCTACCAACTACAAAGGCCTTTTGCAACCTCAAATCGCAGTGGCTCTTGGTGTCCTATTTGTATAATTTTGATATCCATGCAAGTATAGTTTTCACTTTTCATCATGAGCTCTGAACGTAGAATTAATCACTACGAACTTTAAGTCTAAGCTTGCTCTTTGAACTGCAAGGATATATATGAAAGTTTTCAGACAAGGTAACATAATATCATTACCAACAATAGTCATACACTGCAAAACATAACAAAAGAACAAGCTTTAAAACCCACAAGTGTCACAAAGAAGAAAGCTCAACATTTAAACATTATACAATTTAACCATGTTTAAACAAAATATCTGAAAAAGCTTTAGGACAAAAAGCTTATGACTTTTTCCATTTGGGACATATCAAAACTCAAAATTTTCTTGGTCCACATAAGACTTGAACTTTCACCATGAATCACTACACAGTAATCAAATGTCAAAAGGCTATAATTTCAAAATTCAGTAAAACCCAAACTCAATAAGCCACTCGTATGTTCAACTGATCAGAGAGATAAATAGTAAGAAGCCGGTGTTTGTGGAAGCTAGAACATGTAAAAAACTGATCAAAAGGTTCTCCTTTCTCAGTTCATGAACTAATTGTCTCAGTACTAAGCTGTGTTATTTGAAAATTAGAAACCATTTGTCTTTAATGTGCAACAGATATATGTTACCTAGTAATTATAAACAGAACATAGTAAAAGGAAGAAGCAATTGAAAGTACCTTATTCACCTCTTCTTCGTGAATCCTGATGTGAGCATAAGAATGAAAATAGGCAACATCAAAATTGGCGCAAGGTGAAGGAGATTCCAGAGTCTTCAGCAACTTTTTATTGCCTAGCTGATCAGAATCACTAACCCCCTTTGGCGCTTACCATACCTTGAACGGAGATTCTTGACATTTTCCTCCACTGTAACAAAATCATATCTCCAGAAATCCATAACTTGCCTAAAATATCTCCAACTAATTTCTCTGTTCATATCCCCATCTCCGTTGCTGCGACCTTCTTCACAATTGTACTACTGACAATAGAAGTGGGCTTCAATAATGAAATAATGATTATTGAAAAAAGAGGTAAGGAAAAGATAACATTGAAGAAGATAAAATAGGAAAGAAAGAGACATTAAAGAAGATAAGAAAGAAAAAGAGAGAGATAGAGACGATATTGGCTTAATTTTAACTTTAATCTGTTATGAAAAAGAAAAAAAATCTAGAGATCAGGGTGAGAGCTAAGAACGAGATCATCTTTTAATGTGGTTATGTTTTAACTAGTAAATCAAATTGATAATGAGATAAAGTTAGAGAAAATTCCTCTGTAGTGATATACCTATAATGATATTACTAAAACATCACCATCGGTAAAGTTCTAAAAATCAGTATGTTAACCATTAAATAATAGTATTACAGCATAATAAAGTTTTTTGATTAAATTTTATTTTGTTTGTAAATGAGATCTTACACTATTAAAATGGCATAATAAAGCCTTTTGAGAGTGTCCACGTCGGCTTGGATAATCAACCAATAGAAAAGCTTCTTTCGTCGACGTCATGTCCATGTCATTAGTCTAATTGGGCTACATTTCTTTAGGTTTGGGCCACGATTTTCATGAACTGGCCTTTTAAGTAAAGACAAGGGATCCTCAGACGAAACACTAACAGGGTTTCGTCACTCTCCTCTTCCTTTTTAGATTCCTTTGCGTTTCAGATCCCCTCCTTAGATTATCATCTCCTTCGTTCTCTTCCACTCTCTTCTCTGATATCCTCCATAGCTTTCTCTTCTTTCTGATACGAAGAAGTTCATCATTGTTTGGTTCCTTACGCAAAAAAAGGTAACACCAAAATTTTAAGAAGAACAAAAATTCTCATTAAATCTTAAAATTATATCCACACCCTAGACCATAACTGTGCAATGAATCCTCTCCTTTATGGTTTTGTTTCACCCTTCTTCATTTCATTGTCTTTATAATTCTCTTTTTTGCAGATGTTTTTTTCCGCAAAATTGTACTACAGTCTCTCAAGATCTTATTGCGATGAATTCCCTTCCTGCTCGATCTGCGTAATCAACACATTGAACCCATAAATCTAAATTTTTGTTGGTTTTTGTTTAGCGTTTCTGTAGAGTTCGGGAGCAGCGACGAAGCCGTCGGAGATTTATAGCTTCAAGTTGGAGAGAAAGGTTGTTTTCGATTTTTAAGAAATTGAAGAAGGGTTGATGAATCACCTAAGCCCCCTTGGTGAAGTCATCGAAGCTGTGATCTTCGTTACCACTATCAATCAAACCTCTTCTGTACTCCCATCTTAATGTCTTTCTTCTCACCTCCCTCGCTGATGTAGTTCTCGGAATCGGTAATGTTTCTCTTTAATTGACATAACTCTTTCACTGATCTCGATACAGTTTTTATTGAATCTGATTTTAGAAATAACTCTGATGTCTGATCAATGCGTATCTGAAACTCTTATGTGATTTCTGGTGTCTGAATTGGTGAATAAAGTACTTTTTAGCAACAATAACAAGAGTTGTGTCTAAAATACTTCGTATGCATAGTGTCTGAAACATATATATATATATATGACCAGGTATCTTGTGGTATTAGACTTTTGATTAAACCTGAAATTACAATAAAAATATACTGGATTCTGTAGCAGTAAAAGTTAATTTGTGTGTGTTTTTATCTATGAATCTAAAATATATGATTTGTTCCAGAAAGGGCTTGCACCATACTTTGGTTGCCTAGTTGGTCGTGTAGCAAATAGGATCAAAGAGAGAAAGTTTTGTCTCAATGGAGTCACTACACTTTGCCCATCAAGAATGGTCCCAATAGGCTGTATAAAGAGCCCATCTTTGTTCAAGGAGTACTGGAATCTTCCACATGTGACCAAAGAATCGTTCACTGAAGCTGGATAATTCAATACCGGGGATGCTGGTCGAGTGGATGAGGATGGACATACGTGATCCTAGGACGTAAGTAGAACATTCAAACACAATCTATGAGTGCTTTGTGTTTCTTTCTCTCTGAGACATATACTCTCTTCACTTGTGTCGATCAGGTACTAGCGCTGATATTATGAAGGTTGGAGGATACAAGTTATCTGCCTTGGAAATAGAATCAACCCTACTCGAGGTTACATTAACATCCACTTGAGCTTTTTGATTAATCATAAACTGAAAATCTATGGGGATTTGTGATATCAACACCCAACGCTTGCAGAATGTTGCGTGTTGGGGCTACCAGATAAAGATTATGGGGAACCTGTTACTGCTATAGTTGTAGCGGAGAGTGGAGCTAAGAGGAAAAGAGAAGAAAAGTCAAAACCTGTGATGACCGTAGAAGAACTCTGCAGTTGGGCTAAAGACAAGCTAGCTCCTTACAAGGTAGTACCTTTTTAAAAAGCCTGACCAGGTGTCAGGGTGATATCAAATGCACACACACTATAGTCTATAAAAATATTCACCATCTTGCCTATAAATTTTATTTTCAGCTACCGACACGTTTGCTAATAAGGGAGAGCTTGCCCTGCAATGCCATGGGAAAGGTAACTAGAAAGTCTTTTTTTTTTCTTTTGTTAATAAAAATTATTCTCATACTTTTTGAGTTACAGGTGAACAAGAAAGAGCTAAAGAAATCTCTGGATCATCAAGAGTAGATTATTCTCAAACAACCATGGATCTCTTTATCATGCTTATTGGTTTTTGATTATATAATGCACACTTGCATAAATAAATATATTTATATATATTATGTTGTCGACTTAAACAAGGTCAGGAATTAAGACCACACTATTTGGAAATAAATCTTAATTTATTTATATGGCTATGTACTTTACTTATGATCACGAAGAACAAATGTTTAAAAGGATTAATGTTGACCAATGTATTTTGATGCCGACATTGCGACCGTTTAGTTTAAATAGTCAGTGTGGCCAATCACAATGCAAAGGGTATAAACGGTAACTAATTTGTGATATGTTTTTATATTCAACGGAGAATTTCTTTATCCTCAAAACTCTCTAATCTCATGAGTCGAAGATTGAACATGGAAAACCTAACGATCCTAAACACTCAACGATCCTAAACACGACGACGTATCTCGAAGAGTTAGCGCAAGGAAACGGTTTAAGCAAGATGGAGGTCTTAATCTTATAAGGCTTAGAACTCATCCACGTCGGAAAAGGAATCATACGATGTAATTTATTATATCAAATTGTTTTTTGAAATTACGAGAATTTAAGTTTGAAGGATTTATATCTAGTAAATTAAACCTTTTTGGGTTAAAAATGCTAATATCATATTAATGAGGTTCAGATTTTATAAAGAAAATCTATGAATACTCTACCTTGGCAAAAAAAAAACTTGTAAAATAAAATAAAATTAAATATTATGTTTCTATCTTACTAAATTTTTATTTCGACATTTTTCACACAAATCAAAATATAATTGAATTTATGTTTATCCCTAATAATTACATCTGATTAACTAATATTCATTGAGATATTAAGGTATTTTTAAGATAACAATCATTTTTTTACAATAAATACTTAGTTAAATAGATATAACCTTTAAAATTATATTGAAATAATAAAATGACACAGTTTGTGTAATACGAATAAAAATTTCAAACAAAGTTATTTATAAAACCAAATTTACATACACATATAAATTTAATATAAGCATAAAATTATGTTCAAACATAATTCTCAAAAACTTAACTAAATCTTTAAATTTATCAAGGAATTCAAAAGAAAAATAAGAGTCAAGTTATATACATGAATTAGAACTACACTATCTATATGTAGCTCAAAATATAATAATCATTCATGTTGTTTTTGTATTCTAAACTCAATTTTAGTATTTTAGTAAACTAATTTAAAAATTTATTACGAAAATGTAAGAACGAAACTATATCATAAATAACACATAAAAATATGGATTATTTTATTATCATAAAGAAAAATAATTACGAATTTTTAAAAGTAATTATCCGCGCATAGCGCGGAAAAACGATCTAGTTTATATAATGACATTTGGCAACACAAGTTATAGAAGCTCGTCCAAAAACCCTATGCAAAGACCCGTTCCCAACGTTCTCTTGTTCTATTATTTTAATATTTAAATTTTTGCAGAACCTTATCAAAAAGTAAACGATGGACATGCTCTAACTCTAAAAGTGACCCTGAGCTTAATATTCTCATATAAATATTTCATTTGTATAAATTGTATCAGTTTCAGAATTTTGATTGATCCCATATCTCTCCATTATATAAAAGTTATTTGTCTTAACTAACTCTTAATCTTGTGGAGAAGTCAGCTGGTCCTGCGTAGTCTGTTTTTAACAGGAGACATGCTCATGGTTTGAGCAACCCTGTTCTAGACTCTAGTCATCCGCAACTCTTTAACTTTATATTCTTCTGTTGCCCACCCACATAAGCTACCAAGTTTGGTTCACAAGTTCTACTTGAAAGTCATCTCAAGAATCTACACAAGGACATCTGTTCTAATGCTGCTTTGAAAACCCATAAACTGTAATAAAAGACCCATCACACAAACCAAAAACGGTCATTCCTAGTTTGCAACCATGTGTCTTACACTAGGAGCCGGTTAATTGCAGAGAACATTAAAGGTTAAGACTAGATTATTTCTTACAATCTCCCTATACTCTTCAGATTATTTTCCTAGCCATGTTCAGATTTATATAACAAAGTGTTAGGGCTTACAAGCTCTTGTACATCCTAGTCTTTAGCAACCAGCAGAAGAACTTTAGTAGAACTGAATTATAATGGTTGAGAGTAGGAAGAAGTAGATGAATACTATAAACACAAAGAAAGAAAAAGACTTTGACACAGACAAATACTTAAGGCAGAGATGGAGAGAGAGAAGGCTTAGTGACCTTAAGCTCACCACAGTCACTAATGAAAACAGTCTTGAGAGGTCTGTTCCACAATGATCTTGCGTTCTGAGCTCGTTCATCTCCCAGAAACTCTGCAAAATCGTTGAACTGTCGAATCTTCTCGGATGGCTTAAACGTTGGCACTGCAGCAATACTCGTCACCACATCTAACCCTGTTGATTCCTTGAAATTAAACTCAACATTTAACAAAGAAAAAGGCAATAATTAATTTACTGTACCTTCAAGCACAGTTCCAAAGACAATGTTGCCACCGTCGAGCTGCGGACAAGGACCAGGACCTGTAGTGATCAAGAACTCGACATTCCTGTACTCAGGATCGAGTCTGGTTTCATCATCGTCGTCGTTTTCAGACAAGCAAAGAGAGACTAGTCCAGGACGAGCGTGAGGGATGAGGAAAGACTTGGAATTAACAACATCGGTGTTTGGAGGCAAATTCTTTAGGAGAGGACCGACCTCCGCCGTGTCTCGTCGTAATCCCTGTCTTCCGGCGAGGAAGAACTGGCCGGGGAAGATTTTGTGGATGGGAGTGTTTTTGTAAGATGCAGAGGAGGAAGTGCACATGAGTTTGAAAGTGGAGACAGTGAGGGGAACATGACGGCCGTATAGTCCGAGAACGACGCGGCCGAGAGGAGTGGAGTCGGAGGAGCAAGGTGTGGTGGAGGAGAGTGTGGCGGAGGGATCGGAGCGGAAGTAAGTGGGGCAGAGGGAGAAATCGAGGAAGACGCGATCGGTGATTGTTACGTCTGGGGGAGGAACCTGAGGGGAGGGAGATACGGTGGCGATTGTGGTGGAGAGGAGGAGGTTGCGACGTGTGATGGAAGCGGAGAGAAACGGAGGGATGATAATGGATGATGATGCCATGGTCATGGTGGTTGTTTGCAATTTGCAATTTGCAACCCCTCTCTCTCTCTCTTCTCATCTTTACTGGATGTGTCCTACGACGTCGTTTAGACAACGTATATGATTACTGAACCGGGCCGACACGTTTCGTTTCTCTGTTTCTCTCTTTCTTATGGGATTCGCATGATTTGTATTTTAATTATTTTGGATCTGGTTCCATAACTTTTAGATATCAGTTTTTACATGGTTTTGAAATACCTAGAACGGACAATATGAGAATTACGATGAACTTTCCCAAACAATAATTTTATTACAAATCGTTTAATTATATTTATGTGACTACACACATTCGTATATCACGATTGATCAATCCCTAACAATCTAAAATGTGAGAACAACCAACGTATCTTGCTGCTCTCTCTCGTTTAGATCCTTTTATCTTGATCTCTTATCTTTCGGAAAGCATAACCCATTTCTTAGGTTAGCCTCTCCTTATATATCACCGTTTCTAAATATTCTCCACAATCAACTTTCCATTTCTTTTACACTGCACTCTGTCATAATTGATTGGATCACGATCTTTGATACATAATGTTATTAAACCAGAGCAACCATGTTTCTTAAACTTTAATCAAACCAACTTGGTTTAGTCATCAAAAACTTAGATTCTACAATCTCCTCTTTTTTGTTTGCACCAGTCACCTCATTCCTAAACCTACTCCAACACACACACCACACAGCAACAGCCACATTTAACATTAGTTCAAAACAGTAACACAAGCTCTCAACCTGATTCAAATAGCATAAAAAGGTTCGTGACAGTACATAACCACAAGCAAGCAACATAAACATAACCACAAGAACAATCAAGATGAAGAACTGAAAAGCGCTCCGCAAACAGAAGACGCTATACAAATGCTTTGCTAGGTTTCTTCTCCCACTGAATGTGTGAATGTTAGAGGAATCCAATTTCCCACCGGCTACCTGGGATGTGTGTAAAATATTCTTTTGATAGCATTTATTAGTTAAGCAATTATATAACTTATAATAGCGGATAATAATTGCTGTAGTAACATTATTAAAAATTCAAAAAAAAATATATAAAGTATAAAAATATAAAAAGACAGATATAAATATATTAAAAAATTTCTATATTGAAATTACTTACAAAATAACCTAAATCAAAACTAAACCAAAAACCTAAACCTAAACATTATACTGCCGCTACCACCGCCAATCTTAGGCAACACCGGAGTTCTTTTCTCTCCTCCTCTGATGGTGAATGACTCGGGAAAATCAGAGTTTCTTGTCTTCTCATACTCAACCTTGCGCTTATCAGCCTTTGGGAGCCTTCTCCTACAATATTGTACAACTCAAAGGTCAAGAAGCATGTAACACAATACAGAAGCCAATGGTGATGATGGAGCTAGTGGTGTTCTTATACAAAAAGAAGGACTTACTTTAGGACCATCACCGGACACACCATAGTAGTCAGCAACTGGCTTCCCATAATCCTTGTTATCCACATCCACATGTACAAAGATGAGCTGTTGCAAGAAACAAAGGCTTCTCAGAAGTAATCTTAGCCATCGTTGCCTCCAAAGATCATATATCCATGTGCTTTTCTTGATGTGAAACAAAGTATATCAAAATAAATCAGAGTTACTACCTATGTTCCTACCCTTCCTATAAATGATTTTGCTGCTTCTTCAAACTCTCGAAGAACCTTTTCAGAGTTGGTTTTGGTTGCAAATAACAACTGCAAAGAGAAGATATACGTTCATGTTAGTAACCTTCAATAAGCCACTGACACTATAAACTTCAATAAGCCACTGACACTATAAAATTTGACGCACCTGCTTCTTGATTGCACTCTCAAAAATTCTTGTGAAAACAGACCAAAGGAAGCTTTTTGGCGGATACAAAACTAACTAAAGCAGACTTAACCTACTCCCTATCTGCAGATTCATACACTTTGGACTTGGCCTCAGAAGAAATGCAAGTTTTTTTTAAAAAGAAAATTAAAAAAAAAAAAAAAAAGAGATAGGAGACTTAGCTTACCCCGTGTACGCCTAAAGGAGGATAACATCCAGCTTTTGGCAATCCACCAAGTAGTGGATTTCTCACAGGAGACGTAGCTCGTGCACCAAGTATTTGGAGGACCCACGAATGATCAACAAAAAAGGAGTCTTTATATTCAGATTTGGCCTTGGGTTATTACAAAGCTGATGTTGCCAATTGAATCTGCATTAACAAAAGAAGTAATGAGATGAACAACTTGAAGTGAATAAGAGGAAAACAATAAACCTCAGGTTAATTAGAGTAGGAAACTGCAAGGATTCGGCTTGATAAGCTTATTGAGTTCCACCAACATGATAGACCTATCTCAGAACAACTCTAATACAATCGTCAAACTAAAACAAAAACAATCAGAGAAGTCAAGGGAGTGAAGCAGAAGAAGAGCAGTGCTTACTTTCTGGCCATTCTGCAAGAGTAGGATCCTCCCAAGGCAGCTTTACGAGGAATAGCTCTCTTCTTAATTTCCGCTTTGAGTTGTGTTTTGCTACTAGCCAAAGTGGCTTTTACATTCTCAAGCTCTTTTGGTGTGATGGTTTGTGCATCTCTCTGGAACTAACTGACGTGCATGCCAATCAATAAATACAACCAAAGCAAACAAAGTTATGCATAAATTTCACAGAAAACAAATAAAAACAAAACCAAAGATCAAAGCTATAACTAACTGTAAACCATGTGAGATTCGATTCGTAAGCAAGCATTGCACAATTATAAACAGAGCAGAGCAGCTATCTCATCAACAATAACAACCAAAGCAGCTGGAATACAAAAACCCTAATTCGAATAGCAAATCTCAAAACGCTAAGAAAGGTGACCTTAAACCACATAACAGGCGGAGCTTGTTGAGCGTTGTTCGGAGCATTTGGAAATTGAACATTGGTCTGAAGGGGGTCGAGCGATTGATGGAGGTTCAATTTCAGAGGGGCGGAGCACATCGAGTAGTAGGTCGGGAGGCTCAAAAATGGCCATGGACAAAAGGAAAAGAAGAGAATGGAAGAGTGGGGACGGAGAGATTGTTATTAGGGTTTTGTATCTAGAGAGAACATCGATACATCTGGAAAAAGAGATAAAATTTTTGAGAGAGAATCGAATCTCAAGAGTTTGGGAGGGAGAATGAAATCCTTTGCTAGTCTTTACTAGGAGATGGAAAATAATTTCCACCTAGCGTTTTCTGGTATCTGATCTTGACTGGCATACAGATTGATCTTGGCAATTCACATTTCTCTGAACCGTTTTCTCTGTAGGAAACCCTTACCTGCTTTCCAAGCTTGACGTATCTTCATGAGAAAATGTCTTCATGTGTCCTAGTCTTCCAAATGCAAAACACCCTCCGTGCTTGACCTCCGGGAGTGACTCTAGTCTTACTCGAATATTTGTTTTGGCACTAGTGACTTTCTTCCCCGTTTCAGACACTTCCGATGCCTATTTTTTTCTGTTGGACTGACTTTTCGTTTGTAGCCGTTGCTGCGGAGCACTAACAACTTTCAACCACAGCTACACAGTCATGTATTGGTATCTTGGCTGGTACAAACACCATAGCTCCGAATCCTTTCCATTGTATCTCAATCCCCAATTGACTTTAGTGGGTTTTCCCATAGACAACAATTAATTGGTCAGGATCCTTAGTCATTTTGCTCAACATACAGATCTTCTTGTGGTTTTCAGTCAGATCCTACTCCAGACTTCGAGCCTTAGCTTGTTCTTCTGTGAATGCATGGCACATCTTAGCCACACAATCTTCCAAAATTAAGTTCTTGCGTTTTTCTTCACTAAGATCTTGTTCAACATCCTTCACATATCTCATCACGTTTTCCGACTCAGGAGCCTTGTTCTCTTTACCTTTGAGTTACATGAATCAATAGTCATAATATTGACTTGAGCCTTTAATATTGTAGTGTCCTTTATGAGCTGAATGTTCTCATGGCTTAGCTTGACCCATTGATCATACAGCTCACTATATTTCTTCTTGACATCAATTTCCCCTTCATCGTCATCGTTAGATGAACCTTCATCTGACAAGGATTTATCTTTTCCCACCAGAGCAAAAAAATTCAACATGATATCTTGGTTGTCTTCAGACTCAGTGTCACTATAACATATGAGTGATTTGTCCGCATTCTTCTGTAGATTTGGGAATACATTCATGATATGTCATACGCTTTTACACTCATGACACTTAAATTCTCCTCTCTTATACAAAGGACATTCCATTTTGAAGTGTATGTAACCTTCGCATTCATGACACTCTTGGTCCTTTTTCCAGGTCTTGTCAATCATCATTTGTCCTTGAATTTCGATTTTGTCCACCTTTGTTGAAGCGTCCGAGATTTCTTAACACTCATTTTTCAAATCTCTTTACCATGCTTTTGAAATATATATATATTTTTCAATCCTACAATTTTTCTCCAGCTTATTTACTCTTTCATCCTTCTGATTAGCTGCAAATTCAATTCCTTTCACTAGGGGTGGTTGATCTTCAGTTTGTTCTAGATCAAATGACATAAGCAGACCAACCAGCTTGTCGAACTTAACTTCACCAGAATTCATAGTGGCCTTTATGACAGCCTTGTAAGCCTCAAATTTCTTAGGAAGACACCTGATGAGCTTCTTGACAAGTTGTATCTTTGAGTACTTCTCACATAAAACTGCTGCCTCATTAGCAATTGTATTCAACTTATCGGTAAAACTTCCCAAGGTTTTTCTTCCTCCACCCTCATGTTCTCCCACTTAGTCTCAAGATGATTAAGACGCATTCTTTTGACTATTTCGTCTCCTTTAAAATAATTAATCAGGGTATTCCAAGCCTCTTTGGCCGATTCACATGGCTTGAATGATCTTGAATGATCAATGTCGACAGCTGAGAAGATAGTAGAGATTGACTTTGAGTTGAATTTAGACACGTTCTTTTCTTCCATCGTCCATTATTCCAGTGACTTGATCACTTCCTTTTATTTCTCATGAATCATAGTAGGTTCTGACT